CCCACACCACCACACCACCACCACCACCGTCAAACATATCGACAAATTATCATTATTTCCATTTAATACCACGGTCATCATCATCATCATCATCATCAAAATGTAAAAAAAACATGCTGGATGACAATTCCTCTTGCCTAACCCGGAATGATAGTAGCTCTTCGCGATAAAAAGTGCACAATCTTGAACATGACCCTATCCAATTCACTACTTAATTCTCTACTCTTTATAACAGTTGGGTGTGGTTCTTGTAGACTGCAAAATGTCAGGGAGGGTCTTCAGCTTCCAATGTGTTCAATCTCTATGCTTCACATAAAGGGTCGCGTCCCATTAACTTATTTTAATCTCTGCTTTGCAGCAGAAACTATACGAACTTGCGGCTGGCGGGATCTTTGTGTTTATTTCTGCTGCTGCTTCAGGCAAAGCAAGTTGTCCATTCTCACGCCTAATCTGTTTAGATTGTAAATTATACCTTAAGGCTGCCCCAGATCCCGAACAACGAACATACTCCGTCCTTGTTTATCCTGCCATCTTTCCACATCCTCGTGGGTTTGGGTCAGTCAATTAATTATATTCTTCATTCCAGGTTTGAAGAGAGAGGTGCTTTTTTCCACGATGTAACGACATGTCACCTCAGTCATGACATTTTTATTGCACTACGTTTCATAGCCAAAAACACCTTCATCCATTTGACGTAATGAATTAACACTTCGATCTCTTTGGGCTGTCGTTGTCATTTAATTGAATTCGAAGAAGCACGCTACCATAGCTCGTCCACACACTTTGATCTTTTAAAGCAACTGTCCCAATAACAAAACCCTCTGCACAAAGATGAATGTCACAAGTGTTCAGGTCACACAATGACTGGCGTACTTGACGGCAGGAACTCTTTGTACCGACTTCATCAAATGTATCACAATCGAAAAAACATATCATAACTAACAATAAAGAGCTTTAGACATTACGGTTATTATTCCATGTGATTTGTAAGATTGTAATCTCTGTATATGTACCAGCTGAGGACCAAAATCCTATACAGCATGAAAATTTCACTTTTAAATCATAACCGCAAGGAGTATTACCAGAATCATGCCTGAAATATACTAGATCATGATTATCCACAAATTGCACGTCATTACACGCATGAACGAGAGACATTCCCAATACATATATGACAGGGTCCATTCAAAGAGTAATTCTTTGGCGTGTTGTAATCTGTGAACAACAACTCTACTTTGTAAAAACTTTATCTGAAAATAAATCTGTCCAGTTTAAATCATGCCTCTAACGCCCGTTGAGACCAGGATAAGAATAGATCTTCAGCAACCCGTAAATGTCGTAAGTATTGACTAAATGGATCGGGTGGTCAGGTGTCGAATTGACTTGGGGCACACACGTCATCATCATTTCAGTTGCTGTTGTTGATCCGCTGGATTGTCTGGTCCAGACTGGATTAGATACAGGTCGCCGCCATATAGCTGGAATATCGCTTGGTGTGCAAACTAAACATTAAAACATGTTCTTACCTTACCGACAAGCATTCCACAGCAAAAGTCCATTTCCCAAGGGTTATTTTACATATGCCACAGTCAGGATTCAGAAACCGAAACCACCCTTTCAAATAAATATAACAATCGAGATTTTCTGTCCAGGAACTTTGGGCATCTGACAATCAGACGATGGACAGTAGTGAAGCATTCAGTGAGTCGCTTACGAGAAGTTCACTCATTGATATCAAAATACTCCCTCAAATTGAACTGAGAAGGGAAGTGATACTGTTTATTACTCTGATCTATAAATAATATAAATATATTGATCAAATTATACGACCGGTAACAGTAGAAAGGTGTAAAAGCGGAAATGAGTCAATACAATAAGATGAGATGAGGTCATATGAGGGACAAAGACTTGTAAGCTGTCAGGACACAATACACGAGACAATAACGGTTAGACGTCCATCGTCAATTAGGTTACAGCAAGCTCTGAAGCAATGAAAAACGGCTTTGAGAATCAGGGGTTGATCTGTAGCTTTCGGGGACACCTTGGGGGTTGGGCGTTAGGCTGTTGAATATCCATTTATGCCATTTTTTTCGCTCATTGAAATCCATATCGACGGACCAAATGTGTCTTCCCTGTTGGCGTTTTATCAACTGAAAATGATATATTATGTTTGTTTGTAATATGCTTCTGGTTTCCCTTTATTTTACCACACAATCTTGGGGATAGATGACCAGTGCACTACAGGCGCCGCAATTAGCGATGCAGAGTTGCGTCCGCCGCGCATGTTTGTGTTCGAGGATCCGCCCGACTTTGTTTCAAGGTTTTCAAATACGATATCCGACAGCATACGAGTTCAAATTCAACGATATAAAATATTTTAATTGGTTTTATGAAGGACTTGCCTTGATAGTCTGAGATTTGATAGTCTGAGACTTTCTTTCAAGGTTTGTCAATACGATATCCGTACTACGTTTCACCAATTTGACGAAATATATCCTACAACAGAGATATGCATCACTGGCTTTCCCAGAGTCTGGTTACGTGCAGGGATAATTATTAATGGCTCTGGTACATTTTATGTTGTATTTTATTGATAATTGACATTTTGACTAATTACATATGCTTTAAAAGTTTCAAGATTGATTTATACATCACACCCAAGGCCGCTATTATTGTGATAATGGAATAAGTACATTATGTACGTGTAAAGGGTTGGTCATTTTGCTGAGTCCATTGCACAAATGAAATAACATCACTGCGCTACTACTAAGTATATAATATGCTTTTGTGGCTCAAGGCACTGGTAATTATTGCACAACGGTAGTGATTCACCAGGTCTTACATGCAATAACAGTTGCCAGTATGCACGTCATTAAAAGGAAAAACCACATGAACATTATCATTATGCTCTGAATAGATTATATTTTTACAGATTAAGATAAATGAATGCAGCAAAGAGGGTTCGGGTGATCCTGGCACAGTCAGGGCTTGTCACCAGCTCTGGTCCATTGCCCCTTTAAACACAGGCCAGATAGCGAATATGACTTCTCACAGAAAGCGCTGTCTAGTGGAACCTTCCGGAGAATATGTGGACTCCACCACACTGCAGCCATCTGAGTGTCAGGTAGGTCCGTGATCCTGACAGCAAACCCGCTACTCTAGACTCATGCTTAGTCTCTGAATATGTATAATTTTGATAGTAACAAACAAGCCCATTTATATTGAAAAGGAGCCCTAGGGAGATCAGAGATTCAGAACCTGAGGAAATCTAGACTTGCTTTATTTATGGCTTTAGCACTGCAGAGAGGGCTTGGCAGTAGGGAAATTAATGTGGTTCAGGGACTGTGAGACAGACTACCGCTACTCTTACATTCCCCAAGTCAGTCAAATAATCGGAACAATGCTGGACAACTTGGTACTTGGGTTGTAAGTGTGACAGTTCGTACGTGAGGTCCGCACACCCAGCTAACACACCACATTTTCGCAAAGTTGTGGCAAGGTTGTAGATTGGTAACGTCATGACACAACGTTTTCGCAACGTTGTGGCAAGGTTGTAGATTGGTAACGTCATGACACAACGTATTCACAACGATAGTATTACGTCATTTTATAACAGTACAACAACATTACAACATATATACGTTGTCAAAACGTTGTGTATCGACTATTGCACAATACCTTGGTGTCACGATAGAGTTTTCTGTACAACGTTTCACTTCAGTGAGTGAGTTTAGTTTTATGTCACACTCAGCAATATTCCAGCTGTATGGCGGCGGTCTGTAAATAATCGAGTCTGGACCAGACAATCCAGTGAGCAACAGCATGAGCATCGATCTGCGCAATTGGGAAGCAATGACATGTATCAACCAAGTCAGTTAGCCTGACCACCCGAACCCGTTAGTCGCCTCTTAAGACAAGCATGGGTTACTAAAGATCAATTCTACCCCGGATCTTCACGGGTCTTTTCACTTCAGATTCCTTCACTATTCAGCTACAGCTTCAGAAACACAGGACCAACGAATAACGAATACACATTGATGTGAATTTCTGCTTTGTTTCTTATGTACTGTTCACTACTGGGAAACAATTCAACTATTAACGTTAAATGAACGTTAAGATAACGTAAAATACTCCAGACTCAAATAACTGATGACGTGAGAATGACATATCACAACGTCACGTCACAACGTCTGACAACGTAAGTTGGAGTCCACAGAATAACGTTGTGACAACGTGATATAGTTAGATAGTTTTTTTTCATGTTTTTCATGAATCCTGCCAATAACATTTCTGTCAAAAGGGTCAGAAAACGATATAAGTTATTTAATTGGTTTATGAAGGAAAAGATCAGGTTAGTTGGATTTGATGCGTCTGAGGCTGTAAACAGGCCTGTAACAGAGAGGGGGAAATTAAAGGGGAAACTGTATGTGCATCTACGTGTATTCAGCCATAAAACATGTGAACAGTCATAACACCTTCCTTTTGGAGAGATGTTCTTTGATAGCTCGACCTTTGCACAACCAAGGAAGAACATCCCCTGTATTCAAGAGAGTTAAAAAGTGGGAACAGTTTCCCAAACCGGGTTCGAATACCATCAGGTCTTATTAGATTTGGATTTCTTAATTACTCTTTTCTTGCATTCGGGCGTAATGAAACACATGACCCTATTTTGTTATGTACATCAATATTGTACTGCTCTGTCAAAGGTTTCCTAGGTTTCATTTGCGGGTGTAACCATTCACTGCAATCGAAGGTGACTCATTTTTCATAAGTGTCTTTGGTTCCATTTAGCTACCTGTAAAATTGTTTTTCACCAGCTTTGAATAATTTTTTTAATGAATTTCTTTTCATGACCCACTTTCTTTCTCTTTGGCCCTAATCGTTAACTCTGCTTTCAACGAATCAAGAATGTGAGATGATTTCTTATTTTGTTTACAATTATTTTCAAAATAGCTTTGGAGGTTTCGTCATTGATTCCCACGAGGAACGTAAATTCAGTCAAAGTTCTCCAGGACAAATCATTCTTTGTTCCAGCTAGTCTATTTCAATTTTTGGTTCTATACCTTTGGAAATTTGCTCCTGAGAATATTGAATCTTTAACTGTGATAGTGTAATGAAGAGTCCAGACAGCAATTTCCGCTGGTTTATTGCATCAATCACGAACCACCACGCAATTGTATCCCAGATTCAAGTCGCTGAATAAAACGAAAATATCAATTAAAAAATATAACGCTCAAAATCACAGAACCAAAACAGGATTGTTTCTATTGCGAATCGATATCATTGGTCTTGATCCATCGCTTGCAGTTTCATTTTCCACATAATACCCTGCCTGCGTTACAACGGAATCCCATTACTCTCACCCACGCAATTGGGTCCACTTCTGTGATGAGGATGAGCAGTATCTTCACATGTGCAGTCAAGCGCTAAAGCCAATTCTACACTAACCAGCATTATAAAGAGTCAACAATAACGCTTGTATTCTTATGTAAGTATTGTCAAGGGAAATGCTGGATGGTTTGTTCACAGCATAAATCACCGAGTAATGTCCGTCATGAAGTCAGGGCTGGCGATGTGTAAACTACATTATAACTCCCTTGCTTTGTTACTTCAGCTTCACACGGTAGGGCTGCTTTCTTTGACGACAAGGGGGACTGGTGTCCAATGCAATTTTGTCTGGAAGTATTGTCCATTGAAGTAACTGATGTTTGCACTCTACTTTACATCTAGGAGGGCAGACAGAAGGCTACTCAATTGAATCAATATATATCTGTAAGTGAGTGAGTTTGGGTTTACGCCGCTTTCAGCAATACTCCAGAAATATCACGGCGGCCGACACTAGAAATGGGCTTCACACATTGTATCCATGTGGGGAATTGAACATGGGTCTTCGGCGTGCCGAGCGAACGCTTTAACCACTAGGCTACCCCACCACCACGTCTACCTATTAATCTGTATGTCCAAGGACGTATGTTGTGCCCTCAAACCTACAATGGGAAGATGAATATGTTTTATTGAGCTCTTAGGTGGAGAAATGTCCAGCTATATTGAACCATAAAAACAGAAACTAGAACCATAGTCCACCCATCTGCAGCCCTTGATCTAATCATCATCTTAAGCTTCATCTCAAGCCCTATTCACCTGGTCAGTTATATAGGTTAAACAGTGTTGACCTCACTTGAAGCAAGTTCTGTATGGTACAGATTATTGGCTACTTGACCTTCATTTAAAACCTAACAATGTTACGGTTTCTTCTGTTTCGCAAATCCAAACATATGTTGATGGAATATTCAAAGGGACGTTGATTTGTGGCTGCATCCCACAACATTCACACTGACCAACATCTGCTTCTTAAGGTTTTGAGTATCCTGTCCAGCACGATGCTCTCTAGGGCTATAGAGGCATTTATGAGTGAAATACATGTATCAGTGACGACTTTGTATGGGGTTAAAATGAACACGTTTGAGTGACCACCATTGAAACATTGAGAAAAAACAAGGTCATATCATGTGCGAAAGGGTGTTTCTAACGCATCCACTCATCCATCTATCCACAACAAACACACATAATTTCAAATTAATAAACACAAACTAGCAGCGTATACTCACATACAGATATATAGATACAACTTGCATGTTTGTTTTACATGTTTGAAATGTGGTGAGCATTACATTCGGGATACTGTTATGTAATTCGAAAACCGAAATTCGAGGTGAATGCGGAGGTAGCCATTTAAGATCTTTTAGCCTATTACATTTATTACTTAACTACAAAATCCTTATGGTGACCTTTGGTGGCATATAGAGAATCTCGCCCGAGTGTCTTTTGGTATCAAATTTATCACCACGAGTTGATAAAGTTACAAATATCCGAGGTTTACTGGGGATATTTTCACTTTTATCAACGAGTGTTGATATATTTGATAGCAGAAGACACGAGGGTTGAATTCTATTTTTCATAAAAAATCACTCTTCTTTAGTTTTCAATAAAAATGTATATCTCTGAACACGGTACGGCCATGAAGGCTTGCAGTGCAGCGATGTCATAGCATTGTGACGTCATCAAGTTCATGGCGTCATAGCATTGTTAGGGCATTGTACAAAATCTGCTGTCAAAGCGATATCTCCTGGGAGATATCGTTTGATCTCACACAAGTAATATCTCCTGTGGAACACAGTTTTGGATGATAAAACATATTCCTTAATCGAAATTTGGTGTTATTTTAATTATCAGTGTATTTTTTCGTTACTTCGATTATATTTTCGTAATTTCGATCACTTCTTTCGTTTTTGAAGTCTATTCCCCAAACTCAAAATTTCTATTTTACTTAAGTACATCTTGTGGATATGAAGTCATACCAATGAGACAAGGCCATACCAAAGTGGGATATAGATCACCAGGATCACCTTTTACAGAGACCAGTTACCTCCAAACGTGCACCCGAGGTGACGTATCAGATACTCGCTGTTTCCCTATGGGGATGTCCAAGCATGCTGCAGTGTGGCGGAGTAAAGAATGAACTTTAGCAGCGGTGGACAGATCTTGTGGCTGTCCAGGAGAGATCAAGACAACTTCAGAACCAGGGCTAGGTCGAGAGAGCAAAGAGTGACATGAACTAACTTCTTTGAGAGGCTACTAGAAATTGGAGTAGGTGAGTGAATATGGTTGTACGCCGTTTTAGCAATATTCCAACAATATCAGGGCAGGGGACACCAGAAATGGGCTTCATACATTGTACCCATGGGAGAATCGATCCTGAGTGTTCGGCATGACGAGCGGACGCTTTAACCACAGCCCCTTGAAGTTGGAGTACTACGTAAGGATAAGATCGATATATGGATGAACAACTTCTCTATTTACAATAAGGTTTCGGTGAGATAAATTGCTTGATAACGTTGTTAGATTCCACACCTAAACACCGCTCCTCTTTGTAAATAATGAAGTTGATCATATATACATCTTATCCTTACTTGTGACATGAAAGGTGTGATAGTTGCATGGGTTTGAGATAACACTAGTTCTGAGAGTGAAGAGTTGACGTTTATTGATAGAAAAACTGCTTTCATCACAGCGTCATTAGTGTCCCTCTTTGCTGCACTCTCAGGAACCGATGACATTTGGTATGTGACCCTCACGAAGCAATCCTCAGAGCGAAAATGACTTTACAACAGTTCTTGTCGCATTGACTCAGAAAGTCAAGTGAGCCTCTCTCTTGTCCTTGAGAATGAACCATCCCAAGAGTCGAGTTAGTCATGTCCAGAACATTGTCATCAATGAAAAGCCAAGTGAGTCATCAAATAATCAGATGAGACACGACAAGCGCATCATCTCCAGAATCTCTTGAGTAATCTCAAACTTACCAAGCGAGCCACATGGTAACTTCCTTTAGTGGTATATTTAGAGGTTGGACAGTCAGTCAAGTCAGCACCCTACCAGCCAAGTTAAATACACATTCAATATTTCCTCCATACTATGAAGATTACAGTATATGTGACACGTAAAGTCGTAACATCACAAGAACAGACATAGTGATAGTTGAAATCAGCAGTAGCAGTATATAAACATTGTTATAACTGTGACGTCCGCTCTCTTTGTGTGGGGAGATGAGGTAGCCTAAAGGTTCAGGCGTTCGCTCGTCACGCTGAAAACCCGGGTTCGATTCCCAACATGGGCACATCTGGTGTCCCTCGCATTGATATTGCTGGAATATTGCTAACAGCGGCGTAAAACCAAACTCATACATACCCTTTCTTTGTGTGCAACATATAGTGAGAATCATCTGCTGCCGTGCAAGGAAATCCCTACGTGTTTCATGCAAAGAAGGTTAGCTCAAAGCAGTAGGGATGAAAAATAGAATATGTTCATCTTCCCATTGGTCAATTTCAAAAGGAGGACTCGTTCCTGGAGGTTGATTTGACATGCCACATAATCATACTTAGCAACCCAATTGGCACTTGTACCACACTGACATTCTGCAGACTATACAGATGCTGATCCTATGCGTTTAAGTCTGGCAATGGCAGCAAAGATTTCAGATTCCTGCAAGTTCCCATCACCTCTGTGCCCTACCGGATCTGATACAAATGTATCCAGACAGTGTTAATCTGGCCTGCAGCTCTCTATCTATTGTTAATGTATGACAGAGATGTTCACTCTGCTTGAGTAATTGGGTGCAAGATGGGGTTTTTTCTGAATAAAACGAGATTGTTGTCCATTTTATTGCCAGCTGTAATACGTTATGGATTAAAGATTGCATATCCATGTCCCGCTTTCCAGTGAACCTAATTCTCCCAAGAGAAGTTCACACAGTCTTTATGAAAAATATTTTATGAGGTCCATCATATCTCGAGTAATTACATTGGGTGTTCAACGGTGCCTTGCATTTTCTCAGAGAAATTATTTCTAACATTTCATATTCTTTCAACAAAAGTCTTGCCCATACATTAAAGCTGTATGGACCGCATGGTAATAGAAGCGACAAAACCCATTCAA